GACACTTTTCCCTCCAAAAGGCCCAGAGCGAATTTTTCGACCTACATGCTGCAGTCAGTGTTGCCAATGTCAATTGTTCAAAATCCCCAAAAATCACGGTTAATAGCCCAAAATTTGGGGAGAGCAAAGTTCAAGTTCCCCACATTTCCAATTTTCATTATTTATTACAAATACATCGCTTAAAAATATAATAAAGAATTAAGAAACTCAAATTGTACCATCTATTGACAACGTACACCTTACGGTTACTGTGAATGTATAGAGAATGTAAAATGTAAAGCAAATTATAAAATTAGATGACCTTCATTTTAATGACATTCAACATTAATAATCAGTTTAAAAAAAAAAACATTTTTGTTTGCCTTACAAAATTAAGTAACTTTTTAACTAACGTTAATTATTTGTTGCGCATTTGGTGACACTATGTTAATGTTAGAAATAATCAATGAGTAAATTAAGTTTCGACCTACATTTAATATTTAAAGTTGAGGAGTGGTAGGTTGTAGTGTGAAAGTACCAACTGCTCGTCTTTGTTTCTCAATAGTTGATTTCGTTTTTCTTCATACCGGAGACCGGGCAAAGCGGGAGAATGGATCGCGAAGTCCACACGCACCGACTGGTAATTTTACAATTGAGAACCAAGGGCTCTGATAATAATTCTATTTAAGCTGCTTGTTATTAATGCGAGGGAAGTGCGATGTTGAAAAACACATCAATATAGTTCATCACAGTGTTTCTAACAGTAATGATCAAACTAGCGATGCATCAGCATTCGATAGATTAAACAAAATAATAAAATGTTAGAATCCCCAGATTGTCCCCACATTTAGTTAGTGGCATGCCGGGAATACTTGGCACGCTAACCAACTATTACAGTTTTAAATATATATAATTAACCAATATGTAATTAACGGACTTAATTACATCACTAAATAAAGCCCTTTTGTTTGGAATTTGATTAGAATACAAATCGGAAGTAGTTTTAACTTTTGCAGCAACTGTGGCATAAGTTACATTACCTTTTATTTTCTCTTTTATTTCAGCAGCTTTTGCAACTTTTTGCGGACAAAGTGTTGAAACTGCTGTATGTGAGCCATTGCAGTTTACACATTTGACAGTGTCTCTGTTGTCACAGTCTTTGAAGAAGTGATTTCCTGTACAAATTGAACAGATTTGCTTACTTTTGCAGGACCCTCTGCTGTGGCAAAATTTGTAGCATGTCAAACATTGAAGGGCTTGATATACTGCTTCACATCAAACCAAATATGATCGAACATGACATGGTCAGGCGCTGTTAAACTTAAAAAATTATTAAGACTGTCGGTGTTGGAACCCAGGAGTCATCTGCGATTTGACTCCTATGATATCAGTCCCAGCCTTCAAGTTTTGTAATAAATCCCCTTCAGAAATATCAACAGGTGCTCGTAGTATGCCCTGGCTTTCGAGTTTCTTCGATTCTTGCTACACGACAGACTTCTTGCTAACCATTCGAATTTTGCCAGTGTCTTTTTGTTAAGCAAAAAGTTATTAGTGTCCTTCTTGTTGTTAAAAAATACCTTAACAAGTGCAGGTCTGACCTGTTTGACATAGAAAACACCGATGTAGTTTTCAAAACATTATTAACTTTGAGTAAATCCATTTTGTTATTTTGGCCATTGTTCGACGAAAGTAGGATTGTATACCCTTTCTTATCATTATCGGTGTAAATGTGGTTAGAATCTCTGAAAAGTCCTAGAGTTCGAGAAAAGTTTGCCGCCATTTTCGTGGGAGGAGATATTACGAAGCCACTTGTCTCATCGTTTTTCCTTCTTCCAGGACGGACGATGCCGTCACTGGAGACACTCATTTACCCAATTAGTAGTAACTGATGTGCAAGTAAATTCGACAGTAATTTGTAAATAAAAAGGGCTTAAACATTGACTTACAAATAAAAAGTCAATGGGCTTAAAAGTAATTTTTCAAAATTAATTAAAATAAAGCAAACTATTTTGAAGCTTGGCGCCCTTTTCTGACCTTGCCGTAGACAGAGAGATTTTGTCGAAAGAGAATAATTTTGACTTTTTTTTAATTTCGTGACATTTGTTTTTATTGTGTTATGTGCTGTTTGCATTAAATGTAATTTATTATGATTATAATGCGAAAAAAATAGATGAATTAATTGAAGACAGAAGATAATAGCACAGCAGTAATTATATAAGTATAATCATTGATAGTATAATTCTAGTGCCGGAAATAAATTTAACTGAAGTCCCAAAATAGAAAATGGCTGTATGGCGCATCAGTGCCTTTGCCTTTTCCAATGGAAAAAACAGTACCCAACAAAACAGTAGAAATAAGAGAAAAAAGTTTGTTTAAAAATTTGTTAATATAACTTTAGTTTTAGTTTAGCATTTAAGTGCATAAAAATGGCAGGCGAAGTTGTGGTGGATGCTCTACCGTACATTGATCAAGGTTACGATGATCCTGGAGTCAGAGAAGCGGTGAGAACAGAACCTAACCTATACATTTTAATAGGATTCATTAAATTAATGTTATATTATACGGTTTTCCTTGATTGTTTTTGTTTGGGATGTCGGTCAGGCCCTAGCAATGGTGGAAGAGGAGTGCAGGCGTTACAGACCGACTAAAAACTATTTAGAAAATGCTGGTCCCGAACCGAGCACAGCATTTGAAACCACGGCTATACAGAGAGAAATGGAACGAGTTCAGCAGCGATTACCCATGGAACCACTGTCTATGAAAAGGTAGAGTATCGTGCCTATAAAGTAAGTAATTGTTTTTGTCGGGTGATAATTTTATAGGTTGTATTAAAACCTTTTTTAGTTCGATAAATGAATTTTGGTAGGATTCGTAAAATTTCTTCCTCGTGACCTGTAGTTTTTTCACGCCATTTTCGCAAATTTTCCCCGAATTGCGCCACTACCCGTAATTGTTTTTAATTTATTTTAAAAATAGTAAAAAAATATTTTCATATAATTCTAGTGTTAATCGACAGATATTTCATTGCTCGTCACCTTTAAATATGTTGTGTTTCCTAATATAATGAATATACAAAGTGGTTAAGAGTTAAATTGTAAAACACTGAAAATTTCTTAGAAGTATTCAGAGTACTGGAAGTTTGCAAATAAAGTCCTCCTATTACAATCATAACTGTGGTCTAAACAAAAGCTACGTAAGTGCTCTTTTCGCTCATGTTATTTTTTTGCTAGCTTAATTGGTTCTTGAGGTTCATGTGTTGGTGGCTCCTAAAGTAAACAATTTAAAAAAACGGTGCACGTGGCGTGATGACGTAAGATCGCTCCTGAGTGTACAAATGATTATAATGACAGTGAATTTATTTGATAAGCTGACACCAGTCTTTTTAATGGTAACAGGTACGAGTTACCACCACCACCGGCTGGTCGGCTTGGCGAACCAGCTGCGTGGGCAGAAGCAGTCGATAACTCTCATGCCCAGCTCTCACATCAGGCTACCCGAGTGTTGAACTTGGAACTACAGCTGCAATATGGGTCTGAAGCTTGGAGATCATACCTTAACATGCTACAGGCGTTGGTCACTCGATCACAGAATGTGCATGCACAGCTCAGGTAATACCCTGTTAGAGCATCTCACTAACTGTATTATGTTATTGCAATATTGTGTGTGGTACAGATAAAAGTGTTTGTACAATAATCCAGTGTAACAAACTGTCAAATTCATTTAAATTCTCAGTGAATGATATGTTCTTGACATGTTTTGCCTGCTTTGATTCCTTTGAACTTTGATTCCCCAAAATTCGTATTAAAATAAGTACTGTAAGGAAAATCCCTAAATGGGTCACAAAAGGTTTGGGGGCGGGTCAGGGGCTGGTTAGGGGGTGTGTAAGGGGGTCGGTTAGGAAGCCGGTTAGGGGGCCTGTTTAGGGGCCGTTAGTGGGTCAGCTGGGGAGTCGGTTAGGGGTCTGTTAAGGGGTGGGAGAGGGCGTCGGTGAGTAGGTGGGTGAGCGGGTGAGTGGGTGGGTGAGCAGGTGGGAGAGCAGGTGTGTTAGGTTAGGGTGCGGGGTTGGGTTAGGGGTTGGGTTATGGGGTGGGTCACTCAAACAAAAACACAAACAAACACTGTGAAGTTCAGTGGCTGCTCGCCCAGCCCCCGCGGCGGATCTGATGGCAGGCTCTGCCGCAATACCTAACGCGCTTCCGCGCGGTTTCTGCGAAGAGAGTCTCTTGGAGCGCCCACCACGGGGCCACGTTCGGCCGCGGAGGATAGGACGAGCGACAACGACACACCGACATGTCTCTTCCCCCGCGGCCCCGCCGCCACCGCATCATCGAAAGCGGTGCAGCCCCGCCACAGTCGCGGAGGACAGGACGAGCGGCAACGACACACCGACACGTTTCTCCCCCGCGACCCTCCTCCCAACGCGCATCCGCGCGGTCCCGCTGACCAGGCGAGGCCCGCGCGGAACGCCCTCCTCCTCGGGCCAGCCTACCACCATCGGCCGGCCCCGTGGGTTCCTCTTAGCTTCAGCGTGGGATGAAATCACGAATGAATGTCACTCACCCCCTGACCCAACCCCTAACTCACCCCTTTTTTTTTCTTTCCGGGGGAAAATCCGTCATGGATACCACCGCGTCACGGGGAGGCGCGGTGGTTATGTGAGACTCCTGCATGGGACGGGGCTGTGGCCACGTGGTTTACGATCCACGGCCCCGCATGTCGGGAATACTTGGCATGCCAACCAACCCGTGAACCCTTGCCCAGTGAGTGACAAAGCCACCTAACTCACCCCCTAACCGAACCCCCAACCTACCCCCTAACCCAACCCCTCACCGACCCCCTAACCCACCTTCTAACCCACCCCCTTTTTTTTGATAACCCACCCCCTAACCCACCCCCTTACCCACACCCTAACTCACACCCTAACCCTTAATTGCGGTTCTTGCAACTGACAATTGATCAATCGTTAATTGCTGTTTCGCAATTGACAATTAATTAATTGTCAATCTTTAATTGCCAGGACAATTACATTTTGCCCAACACTGGTTTCAGACTGCCTAACGCTATTACACAAAGTTTAGATAAAAAAAGCATGCAACAGCTCTATTTTTTGAGCATTTGATTTTGTGTTTCATGATACTCTATTACAAAAGCTTGAGCGCTATGGCGTTCGAGACTTACCTCTGCTGTGGCTGGACTCTTTTTTGAAGAATAGAATGCAGTGTGTGAGAGTAGTGAGTGAAGTGCACGCACGCTATAGGTGATCATAATATTCAATCAATTTATAACTCGGAATACAAACATAATAAACTGGGTGTTCCACAGGGTGGTGTATTGGGTCCCTTATTGTTTATTCTGTACATTAATGATCTACTTAAAGTGACAGACCGTAACTGTGTATTATTTGCAGACGACTTATCCATTGTAGTGACATCTAATAAAAAATATGTAAACGAATATGAAAACGACATTAATGTTACTATAGAATCCGTAATGGAATGGCTTAATAACAATAATTTACATGTAAATCTGACAAAAACAAATTACATTCAGTTTGCTTTAAAGGGAAAATCACCAACAACTTAATCTAAATGTACATTATAAGAATCAAAAGATTTGTACAGCTGATAACAAAAAATGTTTAGGACTATGGCTGGACAAAAATCTTAATTATAACAGCCATATTGATAATCTATGTAACAGAATCAATAAATTTGTATATGTGTTAGACAGGCTGTCTAAAACAATACCTCGGGAAGTGGCTTTGTAAGCTTATCATGGTTATGTAGCGTCAGTTATTCGCTATGGAGTTATAATTTGGGGTAACAGTGCAACAATTGCTAAAGTTTGCATAGCACAAAAGAAATGTGTACGAGCGATTTGTGGTGTTGGTCCCTTGCTTAGTTGCAGGACTCTTTTTCCTAAACTGAGAATATTAACTATAGCCCATGTGTACACTTTAGAGTTATGTAAATTAGTGAAACAAAGACCAAATCTACTCAAAAGAGCAATAGTAGTAAATCCTAGAAGTACAAGGAAACCTGATAGACTGGTGCTAAACTATTGTCCACAGACATTGACCTATCAACAAATGGACGTCGGGTCTAATACAAAAACGACGAAAAAAATGTCCGAAGTTAACCTATATAAACGTAGTGACATGTAACGAAATATAAAAAAACAACATTTAATTTAAATTGTAACGTCATTGCAATACTGCCTAATTTTGCTTGCAACAATTTAAGGGCCCAAAAACACCATATTCAGCTTCTACTGGAAATTTAACAAAATGCACCATATTTAGCTTCGACTGAAAATTACTTGAACACAAGAGTAATGGAGTAGCCTTTATCGTAAATATTAATTAATTTTTATATAAATTATTATGTCGCATTTTGCACAATTCACTTAAAGAAATAATAAAGAGTTGGGCAGATACATATATACAAATATTCGTACAAATGTGAAAATAAGCTTGTACTATAAGAAATGTACCGATATTCCAACTAAACGTAAACTCAAATATCTGTAATTCCGAAAACCGATTTATAATAAAACCGTTACGCTTTCGAGTAATTTTGATGCTTTTCACAAATACAAAATTAGCTTTTGTTTTGTAATCTTCCTAAAAAATGCACTTGACATTATGAAAATTTAAGCTAACGTTATTTCGGGCAAATGTATTTTCTGACTTCTGATAGGTAATCCCAAGCCGTAAAACGAGTACAACAATATTTTGTTAGTTATTGCTAACGTTTAATAAAAAATCATTGTAAAAATAAGATTAAAATCAAAGTGACTCTATATTTCTTTGTTTTTTTTTTTAAGTTTATTAAGGCTTTGGCAAAGCCATCAGCCTAAACATGAAGTTTAATTATGTTTCTGTAAATATGGCCGCCACAAAGAGGATAGGCAATTTGAGGTGGCGTGATTGGATTGACTCGGGATTCCTTAAAACGGGCCGATAAAGGTATTTTAATTCGAGAATCGTATGATTTCGCGTTTTAATCTTCGATTAAGGCACAGTAGCACTATCCTATTCCACTTTAAACTAGATTTCACAAAATAAAAGTCAAAATAAAAACGACACTTTTCCCTCCAAAAGGTCCAGAGCGAATCCTTTCTTTGTTCTAAATATTTCAATCGCTTGTAGTTCGAACCATTGACTTACAATTATATGGACGTCGGGTCCGCGCTAAAAAGTGTCCGCACTTGTAAGGCGCTAAAATCGTATACAGAGCGCGACACTCCGCTTTAGTCTTCATTTATTCTACGGACAGCGCGATACTGCGATGACATAACAATTTAAATTTCGAATAGGTTGACTTGGGACATTTTTTTCGTGGTTTTTGTATTAGACCCGTCGTCCATTTATTTGTAAGTCAATGGTTCGAACAATTGAAAATGACCAAGAAGTTTATATAAGCTTCTTGAAATTGACGTAATGGGTCTCTTTCCATCTTTTGCACATGCAATGTGTAGAAAAAGGACAGTTAGCTTTTTAATTATTTTGTGTACTTTTGTAATTTATATTTACGATTCATTTCTATATAAATTAAATATTATAAAAATGTAGAAAATAACACTTTTAAATGAGAACTATGTTAACACAATATATTTGTTTAGTTAAAATATGATACAAAAGCCTGTTTGTATACTTTACTGCAGTAATTTTTACAAGTTATTATTAAATGGTACTGCATGAGTGACAACCGCGCTGTCAGTCGAACAAACGAAAACTGTTGCGCGACTAACGCTCTGTATGCGATTTTAACGCCCTATAGGTGCGGACACTTTTTAGCGTGAACCCGACGTCCATTTATTGATAGGTCAATGTCCACAGACTACATTATTTCAAAGAAATTGCTATAGCATGGGTGTTAAGATTTTTAATAAAATACCGAATAATTTGAAAGCATTGCCGACAAATCAAATGTGTAAAACACTAGAGAAATGGCTTTTGGAAAATTGTTTCTACAGCGTCAAAGAATTTTTAGAATATATTTAATAAATTGATAACACTGTGTTATATATTAGTGTTAATATTTTAGTGTAACGTAAGTTTAAATGTTTTCATGCCGATGGTCGGTGAGACGTGCTGCACCAATTATTAACTCATTTGTAAAACTTTTTTAACCGTATCTTATGCAAATAAAAGTCATTTCATTTGAAAATTGAAATTTTAAATATTATTTTTTTTTAAATACATGATACATTTTTTTCTAGATGAGGCGTAAACAAGCTTTTTATTTCATAGTTGGTATTCGGCCTATTCGGCCACTTTTTTTAAATTCGGTATTCGGCCGAATACCGAATATCACGCAACGAAAAGAAGCACATATAATTCTAAATCTATCATGTATTTTAATCACAAATTATTGCTTTAATACTTAAAATCCATCTGTGCCAGGTTGTGTAGAATGAAAACAATTTTTTCAGCATTGGTTTGTAACAAACAATTGCGCTTTTCCTCATCAACAATTCCTTCTTCTGAAAATAGCCTTTCACTATGAACACTACTGCCAGGAGACGATAGATAAATATTTTTGACAGGCTTGGATACTGCTTTGTGATTGCTGACCACCACTTGTGAGGCTCTGCCGTCCGATTCAGGCGAACAGTTTTCAAATAAAAATCAGTTTCATGTGCGATAGAACTTTTCTCCACATCCTCATCATTTTGCATATTATCTGTAGCGACTTCTTCAGAACAAGTCCAGAAACTGTCATGTATTGATTCTATCGTTTTGTCATTTTTCTACAAAAACTCCCCAACTCCCCAACCCCGTTACCTCCGTAGCAGCGCAATGAGACACGCGTGAAATGCACAAATCTTACGCCGAACATTCGGCCGCCGAATATTCCATCCTCAAGTTCGAATTTGAAAAACTTTTTCCACGCTAACATGCAAAAAACGTTTTTTAATACATTTGCGAAAAAACTACAATGAAAGTAAAATAAAACAGTATATTTTAGGGGCGCGGCGCGCAGCGGTCTCGCGTAATACTCGCCTCCGGTCATTGTTAATACTCCATCAGCCATCTTTATGGAAAATATTTCGGTATTTTTAAATGTAACCCGTTGTTTTATAAAACACCTATGCAATTTAAACAAATAAGATGTTTGTAAGTAAATATAAGTTTTAATGACGAATGACCTACGTCACAAAGCACATAAATATTAAATAAATATACAGCCTCTTTAGTTCTATGTTTAAGGGCCGTATTCCATAACTCTACTCAATGCTCAAGTCAGGATTTGAGTATGATTTGTAGCACTAGAAATCATACTCCAGTCCTTGCCATTAGGGTCGTATTTCCAGTGCTTGAAATCATACTCAAGTCCTAACTTGAGCATTGAGTAGAGTTCAGACTTGCAACAACAGTAAGTTTAAAAAAAATGGAAAAGTAAAAAGCACGAGCGAAAAATCCTCCTTTCGGCACGATTTGTAGTACGAAAAATACCACATTTTGAGCAACTGTATTAAAAAATAATATTTTTTTTATTTTCCAGGAAGCAGATAGCAGCAGTGAACTGGGAGCGCAAGAGGTCACAGACGGCAAGTGGCGCGCGGCTGCGCGCGCTGCGCCGCCGCTGGGCACAGCTCGTTTCGGACAACTACCGACTGGAGCGCGCCATCATGCAGTTAGAGATACAGTTGGAGAAGGTACGTGGGACTTGTCTAGCATGTGACTTGTTTAGTAGCAGTAGAGCTCCTTGTGAAAGAGTTCGTCGACGGAAGACTGCCACCTTGCCTATTTGTGCCGCCAAGCAGTGATGTCATCATTGCTGTGTTCCGGTTTTGAAGGGCAAGTGAAATTACATGCACATGGGCCTTGTTAACTTATGTCTCAAGGTGACGGGCGCAGTGACAGTGTCCCTTAGGTCTTTTCAATTGAAAGCTCTGAGTGCACTGCAACTGTTTTAGACAGGCGTGTAACTTACCGTCAGACGCACGACTTGTTCGTCTTGTCACGTGATATTATAAAAAAAGGTACGAGTGTTACCTGTTACATATGACACTGGTTATACACCGCACTATCGCATTGTATGCTGTAAAGTTATTTTTTTAGTATCTGTATAGGCATCCAGTTGCACTTAAAATTATTATATTTTTTAATTAGAAAGAGACATTTATGTGTAGATTATCACTTCACGCGTTAACACATAGAAGACAATTTATTCATAATCTAAAAATAATTATTATGCTAAAATATATTCTATTCTTTAAATCATTATTTTAATGTTCTTTTACATTCTAATTAAAATATAGAATTAGGTTAAAGTTTGTATTCGGTCATAAATGATATTTATGAAAGGTTTAAATTTTTACAGGCTAAAGGGCAAGCTGCGTCTGACGCGGCAGATCTGGATGCCATTAAACAATTGCCTGACAAACTCAACTCGGAGACGGAGAAGGAAGTGCAGAAGAAAATTGAAGACATGTTTGCTGATTAAACTCCTCGCAAAGACTTACTTATTATTTATAAGATTACTATTAAATTATTTTTAAAGTAACAAGATAAAGTTGTTGTTTACTTGTTCACCCTTTTTTCTAGAATGTATACAACAACAACATAAAATAAAGTTTGCCAAGTGTGAGATGAATTCATGCACGAAGTGTTGAAGGGAAGAGAAGTTATACTCGGGACCTTTTCTATCCTTTCGGCGGTTTAGGACCACAATGAGAAATGACCACAATTAAAAAGGACCACTTCTGAAATTGATCATTTCTTGAATTGACCATTTCTCGAATTGACCACTTCTTGAATTGACTTCTTGAATTGACCACTTCTTGAAATGACCATTTTATTTTTAGACCCTTTCACCAACTTAAGACCATGCCCAGACATTTATCTAAACAATTTACGTTTAGAGATATATTTTTATATTACGTTAATTTTTAACTATGCTTATAAAAAAAACAATTTATAATTAAAAAATAAAATGGTCATTTGAAGAAGTCGTCAATTCAAGAAATCGTTAATTCATGAAATGGACAATTTCAAAAGTGGTTATTTGAAGATAAGGTCATTTCTCATTGTGGTCCTAAACCGCCGAAAAGATTAAAATATCGTTTAGAAATATGCTAAGGACATTATATAATTTGGGTATACGTAAACCTTAGAGGATGGAAAAATAAATAGATGTAAACAAAGCTCTGAATTACACGTCACTACACCTAACTTTTTCATTATCTCATTTTGGAATATTTGGTTAACTAAACTATGTCAAATGATTCTAAAGAAAATTAACTGTGACCTATCGAAGTGAATAAAAACCTAAATTATACATTACTAGACAGACTTCTTCATTTCATATCTCATATTCAACGAAAATAACAAATAAAAAACTATTTTCCAGGATAGAAATTTCGGTTGCCTAAATTATGCCAAATGATTCTAAAGAAAAATTAACTGTGACCTACAGAAGTTTTTTAGCGAAATGCAAAGAGAAATAAGAAAAAAAAGATTTCTTCGTAATATGTGGACCTTTCCTTCGTAGTATGTGATGAAGAAAATTATGAATGCAATATCATTCGTTCACTTACAATATATTCATATGAACGCATCAATAACGTTTTCTGTTCGATTGTCATTTGTTTGTCGTCATCTGTCAATTTTATTTGAAAATGGCGGACGATGCATCGAGCAGTAGCGGTTGCGCCGGTAATTTAGTGGATAACTCAATAAATCAAGATGAGTTGATAATGAAACAGCAACGAGAAATAGAAAAAGAGGTGATTCATATGTTTCGGCTGGTCTGGTCCGTCTCCGAAAGTGAATTCCTTTCTACGCAGTCATAACAATGACATGGTGTTTGTTTGTTTTTTCAGATATCAGAGTCAATACCGCTTGTCGGAGAGCTGGAGGACTTGTCATCACTAGAAAAGGAATACAATGAAGATCCAGTGTACCTCGCAAAAGTAAAAGATCTCTCTTCTAAATATAAATATATAAGGAGGACACGGCCTGACGGGAACTGTTTTTTCCGAGCGTTTTCTTACGCTTATTTGGAGCACTTGCTCAGAGATAAGGCCGAGTACGAAAAGTTCTATGAAATAGCAAAGACCTCGAAGGATATTCTCGTTGCTTTAGGCTTCTCACAGTTTACAGTCGAAGATTTTTATGAGACGGTGAGTCCGCGATTTTTTAAGGTTATTTTGTTTTTTTCGCTATAATGTAAACTTACCGTGATGAGAGTTCATTGTTTTTTTTTGTGCACGCTTCACACTTGATTGTCGGCTATTTAACTGTGCTACAGTTAATATTATTTGTTTAATGTGTTTTCTTAAAATATAACAATATAATCTAGGTGCAACGACATAAATACAACTTTCAAAAACTATGTTGTTACAGTTCATGGAAGTTGTTAGCCGAGTGGGTGAGCAGGCTGCGGGTCAGCCAGACACATTGGAGGATGTTCGCACTGAGTTGCATGATAAATTCAACAAGCAGGGCTACTCTGACTACATTGTTGTATACCTGCGCCTTATCACCTCAGGCCAACTTCAGACACAACACGAGTTTTATCAGAATTTCATTGAGGGCCCCAGGACTGTGACCGAATTTTGTAGACAGGTTTGTATCTCGCTTGTGATTGCTGTCATATGTAATATGGAAAAGTATTTATTATTAGTTTACTGTATAAGATATTTTTTAGATGTTTAAAATAACAATTCACAGTAATACAATAGTTGAAAGAGAATCAAACTAGATCAGAGTTGTATGTTCTATTTCAAGTGAATTTGGTTGATTGTGTATTAATACTTTTTTATTAGATGCTTTTTTGTTGTAGGAAGTAGAGCCTATGTACAAGGAGTCTGACCACATCCACATCATAGCTCTGAGCAATGCTCTTAATGTTGGAGTTAGAGTCAAGTATATGGACCGCGGTGAAAGTAACCAGGTACACATTTTATACTTTATTAATAACAATCTGGAACTTCTATGACAAATATAAGTTAATACTTACTCAGCAATAAGTTATTATTGTTTCTATGTGGCTACAACCGATGTGTAGTTACTTGGATAGTTTTCTATATTAGTGACATGTAAGGACTATTGAAACATTTGAGAAGTTCATGTCCCTAGGAATATCTACCAAGTCTTTGCAAATAAGTGCTCTATCTTGTGGCAGGGTACAAGTTCAATGGCTGCTAAGGACACAGTAGAAAAGATACAGGTGCCTGGTAGTACCACTGAAAGTATGAGTTTTAACATGCTAAGCAGCCATGGTCATGGGAGTTTGAATGCTCTCAGCAACATTGAAAATAGTAATTTCAAGGTGCTCTACACTTCTTGTACTATAAAGTTTTTTTAAAAATACAGTAAATTGAGTACATAGACAATCAATGTTACAGAGAAGGCTTGGATTTTTTGACATCAAATTTATGTTCTGCTCACAGGTAATAGCACATGACTTCCCAGAGGGTACGAAGCCACTGGTGCACTTGTTGTACCGGCCTGGCCACTACGACATCTTGTACAAGTGATTGCCCTATGACCGCTCTTATTTATAATACATTGTGATGATGCTGATACCCATAAAATGATGTTTTATTTCCTTTGCTTTCTTGATCATCTCCATTATTTGTGGCAGCCCTGGCCCATCTCCCACAGAAAAATTGAAGGAAGTCTATTACAATTTTTGTTAACCATTGAAAAGGCACTAATTTACAGTAATCCATTCATAAATTAAAAAACAGCAAAATGGAGAGATTAGTAAGTAGATTGTAATGAGCAAAAAAAAGTTAATAGATGAGGGTGTGAAAACAAAAGCATTCATTACATAAAATATATTGGATCACTTCAGTAACAAGGTTTTCTTGTGAAATATGAACCTACCCTAACCCTAAAGTAATACAGCACTGGAAATTAATGCAATCTAATATTATAATCAATAACTTAAATATTGTAAGATGCAATAGGTTAATAAAATACTAAAAAATTGAAACTTATCGACAGAAATACACGCCATCAGGCTCGCGCTTTGGCTTCATACCAGCAAAGAAGGCCTTTATGTCCTCCTCTTTCACAATTTCCCGCCTATCCTTGAAGCTCTTCAAAAAATCAAGCAACTTGTCCCTCATCTTGTTGTACTCGGTTAAAGCATTTATTTGCTGCACTCTATCTAAAGATGAAAGTGCTTGTAGGCCTTTCTCATATTGTGATGACGGTCCCTCGGCATTCTCCTTTCCTAATGCTTCATAAGCTGTTACTGTGTCATCTTGGTCAATTAAGAACAAAACTCCTAGGTCTTTATACATAGAAATGCACTCTCCACAGGTGCACAATTTTTGCCGGAATGTAGCAGGCCAGAAAGTGGCGCCTTTGAACATCCTTTTTACTCCTCGAGGTCTGACGCATGGCTTAGTGTCTTCTAGTTTTTGTTTCTTAACTATGTGATTGTCTGTTTCTTCTGCTTCAAGCTTCCTCTTATTGTCAAGTATGTTTCCTTCATCTTTATCATTGGGAACTGCATCTGTTGCGTCGTTTTCACAATTAGCTTCCATTGAATTTGTAGAGTCTTGTTTTGTCATTTCAAGACACTCTGAAAAATCTTCATTGTCTGTTTCTTTCACTTTTTCTGCTACATTAGCTGTTACTTCTTCTGGTTCGGGAATGTCTATGTCTCCTAAAATTTCCCTTTCTCCTGCTTCACTCGTTGACACGTTACTAGAATTTGAAATGTCATTGTCTCCTGAAATCTCTTCTTTTTCTGTTGTGCTCAATGGAATTTTATTTAGTTCAGGAATGTCATTACCATCTGAAGAGTCTACATTGTCTCCAGTATCAGCATCCATTTTGTGCTCTGTGTTTATCTCAGATTCAGTTTTTTGTTCCTTTTCTGGAAGTGACTTTTCAACTGTGTTATCATCAGCAGCAGATTCTATTTCATTTTCATTATCAGGTTTAACCGAAGATTCCTGTTTTTTGTTTTCATCTTCCACTTCAGATTCCTGGTCTTTATTTAAAATTTGTGATTCAGATTCCTGTTCTTTGTTTTCAGCTTCTTCCTCAGTACTTTTAGTTTCTTTACTGGACTCAACAATACCTTCAGTTTCTGTTGTTGCTTCATTTGCAATTTGTTCTTTATGCAAATCTCCATTGACTTTTGTGTCCTCAAAAGTGACATCTAGGTCAGGGTCAGTAACAACTATCTCTTTGTCAACAATATTTATAATAATGTCACTATAGTCATGTAAAAAGTCATTGTCTTCCATGCATGCTTTGCATACCATTTCAGCATATTGATCATTGTTAGGAACTGTGGCTTCTAAGTGGTTTTCATGGAGCCAATCTTCACAGATGACACATTGGATCATTTCTTCTTCCTCTGTAGCTTCTGGGTCAGGGTAAGGCCGGTGACAAATACAGTAGACTCCACTGAAGTTCTGATTGTAGCGGTTATCATAGTTCAAATCAGTTTTCTCCGAAGTAAAAGTGCAGATTTGAGAGCCGAACTTAGGGTTGCCACAGTCACAGCGGAAATTTCTCTTAGTGTAGAGTTCAATAAGCTCATGGTTCTCATGACAATGGAGACTGCATGCGAGGCAGACGCCAGCTCTCTTTGTCTCATCCATTTTTGCCTCAGGGCAGCAAGTCAGACACGCATAGATGGCCTGACGCTTTACATAACCCTGTAACAAAAAAATATTATTTATAACTTGATGCATAGACATTGCACTGCCACTGCTTTAAGAAAAAGAGGCAGTCATTGACCCTAATTTTGTGTAAAAGATAATAATCACTCAAGACAAAGCATAGCCAGGCAAGTTGAGCTGTCCAGAGCCTAGGGAATTGAGAACCTATTAGACTATGCAGTATTCAAAGCCCTAGTTGAGTCAGCCACAGAATTCAGAGTATTGAGGGCACTTTGTCACCTTGCAGTAATCAATGCCACCTCATCTATCTGTGGATTGAGTAATTAGAAAAATGTCACCAAAAAAGGGGTCATGTTACCTTTTATGGATACAAAAATGTTGTGAAGAACGAAAACGATGGCTACAGCATCTGGGATGAACAACAGGCAGTCAAATCCAGAGATGTCACTTTCTGTCCAGTTAACGATTCCAATGACAGTAACTGATCTACCAAGGGAAATTACTCCACATTTGCCTAGCAAAGAGGCAAAGGTCATTCCAGAAATGTCAGGTCAAGATATAGAGGGCGATATCTTTCCAAATGACGTTCTCTCTCAGAATAACGTCATAGAAGATTCCCCTGGATTGCTAGAACAACGACTCAGTGAATCTGAACTTGCTCTGGAGAGTGTATAGCAGTACCCATGGATGAATCTTGATTACTTGAATTCATGACAATGAAGGAGAGCAATTATTGCATTCCTAAGAATATGAAGTAATTGAATCTGAAGTTAGACCCAGATACAATTTGAGAAATAGAGGCACACTCAAACCACCGGAACGTTTTAAGTATTTTGTCTGTTTTTTTAACTCAGAAAAATTTCCAGGGATATACAGAGAAGCTATGAAAGGAGAAGATAAAGATGAATGGTTTAAAGCTATGCAGAGTGAGATGAGATCTCTGGAAGGGAACAGTGTATGGACTCTGTGTCAGCTACCACAAAGTAGTAAAGCGCTACCATGCAAATGGATTTTTATAATTAAAAGAAATCCAGATGGGACAGTAGTGAAGGGATTTAAACAAAAAAAGGTCTTGATTACGAAGAGAGCATTGTATTTCCTTGTAATGGTAACTTGAGTTATTTTTATTTTGTGGGACGGAAAAGGCTGTCAACAAACCTTTTCTTCCGGTCTTTACAATCTGCGTTGTACCGATTTGTGTCACTATTTTACATAATGTTCGTGTAATACTAATATGCATGGAAATTGGTAAAAAAACATTGTAATCTGGTTTTCTTATATTTTTGCGTATGGGAATGTAATATGTCACGTGTATCGTACGCGAGTTGAAATTGTAGTCATTGTAGCAGAATTGTCGAACGTTTAGCAACCCTCTGAATCCAACGTGGTTTATAGTCGTACCGTAAGATTCCCCACAACTATAATCTATAGAGGGGATCCTGAATGTCTAATTAAATAGGATCTTTGAGAGTACGTCGTAAACTAAATACGTAGAGGAATACTCGGTACTTAAACCTTTGATCAAAATTCTTCACAAATTGAACTGTTTCATACTGTTGAAATCACAAACGTCAAACCGCGACGACGCGCTTGCCTATTAGCCAGCCATTTTGTTGGTCATAACTCTATTATGTTAATGCAAGGTGGGTTTACCTTGGAATAAGTGCAGTTTTTATCGTCTGACGCCCCCAGCACAGCATTCGCATCTTCTTCGAAATCCTGTTGTTCTTGTAAAACGTCCATCATTGTCACAACTTTTTCGCCGTCACACTCCAACATGTCGGCGTCTTTAACTCCATTAGCAGCCATTTGATAACTGTTTTGATACAAAATCGCAGAGAATTTGTACACTCTGATGATTATCAAAACCGAAAGTACGAAAGCCGGTTACTAATCGGCGGCAATTATTTTTTTGACTACAGCAGTCAGCCAAAAAGTAAAATGAGTTGAATGAATGGATGATACTGAATGAATGATTTGTATTGGTGTTGCCAATGTTCAGACAGAATTGCCGCCTAGAGGCATCCATTAACCAAATCATCAACAGTTTTGAGACCATTAGCCGCGAACTAAACACTATAGTCTGTTCTGTATATATCAAGTAGAAATCTTCGAAATATACGTGAAAGTGTTACTAATTCGATTTGTTGAGGATTGCTTTAGAATTTTAACCAAACAGGTTTGCTTACTTTTTGTTCAAAATGGATTGGAACAGACTATAGCGTTTAGTTCGTGGCCAATGGTGTTAAAACTGTTTTGGATGATGATGATTTGGTTCAAAATTTGGATGAAAATTAGGATTGCGATTTTATCACAATTATATTAAACATTTTTAAAACTACGGGATTTGTTACGTTTTAGTCATAATGGTACCTATCGTTTTCAAAAATACGAATACACAATGTAGTTGCAATCTAACACCGCGTTTACACTATCGTCGATTGTTTCGACGAATGTTTCGTTTCTCGTTCTCGTCACTTTCATAACGAAAATATAACATTTAGAAAGTAAAACGAAAACACTTTACGTTCATAGTGTTACATATAAAGTTACATATTGGTTTAAATAAGTTTTTTCTTGAGAGTAACGATTGAACGTTTTTTGGAATATCACTGTCATCTACACAAAGGTCCTTCATTTCTGTCACAAGTATTAGACGATGAAAACGGTACTGAACACTGGTGAAAATGGTATGTCGTATGTCGATTGTTTCTTCGGTACAATGAGGACATTTATCATTTTGAAGGTTCCTAATCTCTTTAGGTGAGCAGGAATTCTGCAGTGGCCAAATCTCATTCTATTGATGGCAGTTATCTGCTTTCGTGAGTCTAGATTCGTTTTATTCCGCCAAGGTTCAGTATCTTCAGTCTTTGAACCGTCTGTATACATAGTGTATAGAGACTTGTTTTCAAGAAATTGTAGTAGCTCACGTTGGTTGTCAACTTTTTGAATAAGTAGTGTTGCCACGTTGCCCAAGGAGGAAGTAGTTAAACTTTAAGTAAAAAAGTTGCTAGATTCCAAGAAATTAATTTTGGGTAAAATTGCTTAAAGTGGCTGAACAAAAATATAATTATGGGATTGCGTTTATAACACATATTTTTCTTAATTTTACAAATTATAAATCGAAAAAATAATTATAATCAGTATCAATCAAATCATTATCATCTTGTGATATTGAAGATTAAGCTTTATTTTCCTTATTTTTCCAATTTTTTACTTTTCTTACTAAAAGAGCTAAAAGATTTAACTATCAAATATTTTGTTTTGTACCTAATAATTTCGTAAATCTGAATAAATCTATATAGCTAAAAACTGGCTACAGTGGCAACACTAACTGTGAAAGTGAAAATACAATAATTGTTTATAATGCATTGGCTCAGTTCATAAGGAACAATGTTATTAAAATTTAGATTATTATTTATCCACTTAACATTATTTTCAGCTATTACCATCTCATTTCCACTTCATAATTTCCGTCCTTCATTGTTTAAATTTACCTATAATATACTACCTACCCCATCTTGTTAATCACCGTACCAAAATTCCGTTTGCTTTTATTTTTATTCCGCGATTTCCTTTCCCCGTTTTTAAATTCCTATTAATATCCAAAACCCCAAATCAAAGTTCCACAACAACAACAACAACTGCGACGACAATGATATCCTGAAGCCTCAAGAAGGAAGAAAGTATTGGAAGAATTATCAAAAATTGGCAACTCAATCGCAATTGCATATGGCCAAATGCTGGATGCCATAGTGCCAGGAAATAAGAAAAAAAAAGTTACTTCGCGTCGTCTGTCGTATCTAACTTCGCGACACTACTCGTGCCTAACTTCGCGATAGCGAAGTGACCGTTTACACATGGGTGTCGTGCTTCGCATCGCTATTTGCATCGCCTATCGCACGAATGTGAGAACACGGCTAATGTAACACACGAGCGCCTGTGCCGCCAGTTGTAAACTTTTTTGTATGTGTTTTGCTAGCTCGGGCGGCAACAACTTCAGTTTTATTCGGTTACTAGCCTCAAATTTTTTTTTATATAAATAAATACATAGCCTTAGAATAATAACGCACGTAGCTATATAAAAAAAAACACCAGGAGTTTATATTTTTCACTGATTGTAGTTTGTTTACTTTTCTCTGAAATAAATGTATACTTTTTTAAAACAGCAACACGTTTTTGAATACAACACATGTACCTACCTATTTAAATTTGAACTATTCTAAATCTAAACAATGATATTATACTTGTAAATTCTAAACATATTTTCGAAAATGTTTCAACGTTTACATTTCAATTGCACTGGACTATACGTTTAATTTGCGATTTATAATAATCTCAGTACAGAGTACTAAAAAAACCGACTTCAAAATTTCGTGGAATTACATCTATGTATTTGTCAAGTTTTATTGAAATCGATTACCGGAAAGTACCCTAGTACATTATAGTACCTAATATTTTTTTTTTCTATTCCTTCCAGTAGGTATTATTATGGAGTTAGAAGATCGGGAATGCTGTGTGTACCTACTGTTGTATTCGAGTGTCAGGTTAATATTGCTGTTTAAGAATGTTGTTCAATTACTTTCACTCTGACGTCTTCAAGTGTATAAGACATTACGAAGTTGTAAACTCCTAGGTATGAATTAATGAAAACAACTATTTATTGAATAGAAATAGATTAAAAAATCCATAATTAAGTAAATTATAGAAGAAATGGTACATCTAAATTCTTGCGTCCGTTTCCTACATAGAGGAACCCTGCATCAGGAGATCGTACTTTGTGAAAGTAAGACATGCCTGGCCAATACAAGCTTTTCAAATAAGCTATAGCTCCGTTTTGTTCCATGCTTAGATTCCAGCAACCACTTGGGATGTCCTGATCAATGGAGTCTAGGAAGTCCATGCTGTAGCTATAATCCTGACGTGTGAGAAGATTTGTATTCCAGCGATGTTGCGCAATGCGAATATGGTAGTAATTCTTTTGTTGTTTCGCCTCCAAGGAGTCCAAACCGTAATAATTTGGATTTATAACAATGGTACCGTCCGGTTGTTTGATTAGCTGGCCTCGGGCGCATATCTCAGCTTCTTCGCTAATGTTACCAATTGTTGCTGCCAAACGATTTTCTTCCTTCATCTCTTTGCATTTATCCGGGTTCCCATCCTCTAGTTCCTCGTCCAGTACCTTTATTTTCAACGACGGGTCGCCGCGGAAGGGGTAAGTGGTAATCAGGGAAAGTTGCTTATATTTCTTTTTGGCTTTGGGCAGCAGTCCCCAGAACATGAAATCATGTGTGTAGAAATACTTCCTGTCGTGAACGGCATCGTTGTAAATACCCACTGCGATGTGATAGTCAGAATCGATGGCGTAGATTTGACCCCAGTACTGCATGCTAGAAAAGTGGTTTTCCACCTACGAAAATTTAATAATAGTTAAGAAATAAACTTTCGTTAAAGATAAAGGAATTATGTTAAATGTCCCCCAGTACGGAACACCAATGTTAGACTCGACTTTTCTAGACCCACAAAGTACGTGAAATTCTGATTAACACTGTGCGGTATTCAGTTTATGAAATCTCTACTTTCACAGTAAGTACTAGCTAATAATCAATGTCCGTACCTACTCGACATCCTATGGACCACGCACTAAACTGAAAGCGTGTTATTTAAAAAATACACAATTAGAAGATTTGTAAACGGTCTTATATCGAGTTCTTAGGTTTTCGCGATTGTTACACATAGGAAATGAAACTATTTTTCCGGATTTAAATCGCGTATATTTGTTTTTTCAAACAAACCGACGTTTCGGGCCCTTTACAGGTCCCATGGTCACGGTTGACTGTCTTATATTTCCATAACGTTGAAATAATATACACATATAATGAAAGTTTGTTAGCATTAGTTAAAAATATATGATAATTTTAAAAAGATAAATTAATATGTAAATATTGACAAACCTGCAGCTGCGTGAGCGAGTTCTGCAGTCGTGAGATAAGTTCGGCGGTGAGCATCATTCCGTTCACGTTTACCAACTCCCGGTACTCCCATAGCTTGTGGATGTTCGTCATTATTCCAAACAAAACAGATATTTGCAGTTCTTAACTCTCAAAGTTCCATTAGTAATTGGAAAACACAGAATTCCAATATGTATTTCAATAGCATCTAAACGAGTTGTGACGGGAATAGGAATAGATATCATGAAACACACGTGTCAAAATATTATTATTTTCTCTCTGTGGCTTCGGTATACTCAAAAAAGTTTGTGGTACTCTTTAGTTACAAATCCAAGTTCATTGCCTTGGACACGGTGGAGCCCTTGTAAAGAGACTTATTGGAAGCGACTCTCCAGTGTAATCGAATCTTCAAAATCTCGATCACTGTAGGAAAGTGGCCTGCTTATCGGTTTTCTATCGGATATATTTCACAGAGTGTACGTTGGAATTTTTAATTTAATTCTACTCATACCTACATTGCTCTCCTCAACAGACTCGCCTCTGATGTCATTGATTTGCCCCCCAATCGCTAGAAGCACTGTTTTGTTTTTTCATTCCTAATCGTCACTTGCATTTGGCCAAGCATGCGAGCGTCTATATTACCTGTAGCAGGAAAAATTAGTAACAAATCATTGACCTACCAACAAATGGACATCGAGTCTAATACAAAAACCACGAAAAAAATGTCCGAGGTTAACCTATACAAGCGTAGTGATATGTACCGAAATATAAAAAACTAAAACATTTAATTTAAATTGTAACGTCATTGCAGTACTGCCTAAATTTGCTTACAACAATTTAAGGGCCCAAAAACACCATATTCAGCTTCTACTGGAAACTTAACAAAATGCACCATATTTAGCTTCGACTGAAAATTACTTGAACACAAGAGTAATGGAATACCTTTCTCGTAAATATGAATTAATTTTTTTATATATATTATTATGTCGAATTTTGTATAAATTCACTTGAAGGTATAATAAAGAGTTGGGCAGATACATACATACAATGATTACTACAAATGTGAAAATAAGCGTATACTATAAGAAATGTACCGATATTCCAACTAAACGTAAACTCAAATATCCGTAATTCCGATTTATAACAAAACCGTTACGCTTTCGAGTAATTGTGATGCTTTTTACATAGACAAAATTAGCTCTTGATTTTGTAATCTTCGTAAAAACACATTATGAAAATTCGAGCCAATGTTATTTCGGGCAAATGTATTTTCTGACTTTTGATAGGTAATCCCAAGCCGTAAAATACAAACAATATTTTGTTAGTTTTTGCTAACGTTTAATAAAAAATCATTTAAAATAATTTTAATCCTATTTGATTAAAATGACCAAGAAGTTTATATAATCTTCTTGAAACTGACACTTAGACTATGGAAACTAAAGGACTTGTTACGTTGACATATATAAATCAGACGTTACATGTATATGATGCATTTCGACGTCGATATCATAAACATGTTATTGTCTTTGTTTAACTATTGCGTACCGTCTTAAGTCAAAAGAGATAGCATTACGTTGGTCTGTGTCACACACGGGAATCGAAAATACGTAACGTCATCTTAAATGCCAACCGTGGCCATTTCGCAGTACACGAGGTACATGATACCGTTGTCAAAGGGAAGTACATCAAACGTCAGAAAAAATGTTTTTCCAAATGTACTATTGAATTATTCGCATGTATTATAATTAAATTGGACAAAAATATTGACAGTGAGAATAATTAGGTATTAATAAAAATGCGACGCTGCAGCATTAAGGGATGTGACTTTAGAAAAAGTGCAAATCAATCGAATGTTACATGGCACAGGCATGTGTTATTTTTTGTCTATAAATCACACAATAGCCCAAATATTTCATGTAATTAGACTTATTTAAGTAGTTTATTTATAAATCTTGCCAAATTTTGCTTTTGTTACTTTAGATTGCTTGTTCGTTTGTATATTTTGATGATTGAACGATTATTTTGTGCCGTTCGCTTTCAATTTACAGAACTCTGGTTTAGACTCGAAGACGCTTTTTGGCAATCTGTCCTGTGCTGATAATAATGAGAACAGATTTTTTCTGTAGGGAGGGTACACACCATACATCGCATAAGGTTATGATTCCTTTATGATTTCCGACTTTAGCTTCCACTTTTATGTCACCTTTACCAGTGGCATCTACTTTCTCACCGTTTGCTATCGTTACCGTATGCGTTTTGTCAAATTTCTCAAGCGTATGAAACAAATCACTCCTAAACGTGACGTGACTAGTAGCTCCACTATCCATATACCAACTATCTCTGTCAGGATATAAGCACGTGTCAGCACTCATTAGATCAATGTTACGCACAATGTTTGCATTCGAACTTGGCCTGGTTGGTTGTCCATCACTCAACCACTTTGCGCATTTTCGTACTTTATGTCCTTGTTGACCACAATAGTTACACTTTATCTTTCTACTGCTGTCCTTGCGGTTTCCTTTCTTATAAGAAGTTTTTACAGTTAGAGCTTGGGTACTCACGCTTGCGGACGTAATAGCTTTTGTCTCTATGTTTCGCTCAAAGTCACAGAGTTGTGAGCTCAGTCTCTCTATGGTTCTGTCCGTTTTAGATATCAACAGCCAACTGGATTTGAACGTGAGATATTCTTCTGGTAAGTTATCCAAGATTTTGCAAATCAGAACTACCTCCGGCAAAGAATGGTTTCCTTCAAACTTTGTGATCTCTTTGTTTAAATTAAACCAAACATTCTTTAGCTTTGAAATGTGCGTTGCCATATTATCGTCCAGTTTCTTCTTGTACTCGAAGAACTTTAGGCAATTATCGTAGAGTAAATCATCTCCATCTCCGTCAAACAACCTCTTGAGCTCATCCCACACTTCTTTGGAAGACTCGAAACGCATTATTCTTTGGACAATGTCGTCCGTCATATTGCTTGTAAAAATTATTAAAATCATGCTATCTAGTTCTAAAAATTCCTTATTACCAATGTCAACTTTTTCCAACTTTGATGCCTCCTCACCGATTGGTTTTGTAATTGGTATACCATATCTACCTTCTAAAATGTCTAAGGCTTTTGGAATACCCTTCTATAATATAGATATTTTGTACTTTCATACCGATCAGTTTGTGCCATCTAAGTTTCCGATTTTGAATCTTGTAATCTCACGTTTGGTGGCCATGTTGACTACTTGACTACTAATCAACTATTTGCTTTTATAGACTTTTATTTCTTTTCATACGCGCTGCTACCATGTAGCAGGAAAAATAAGTAACGAATAAAAAATTCAAGTTCTCAAGAAATTGACGTGTTTCATTCTTAAATTATGGTAAAACACTAAAGAAATCCGCCATTTGCGACTTTCAAATTTTGGTTATATGCACTTTGATTCTGTAGTTAGGGCAGCTCATTTCTTTTATTTTTTTCCATCCTCTAAGGTTTTATTTATACACTTTGACATCTTAGTTTTTCAAGTATCCCTAACAACACAAAACCATGTCAAAGAGATTCACTAGCAATCTTCTTCCAATATTACCTACATTAAAAAAGGCACCGGCTGTACTGCATCGAACGCAAAATACTAGCAGCAGTGTATTTTTATCACGAGGGACCATAAGGGCAACCGTAAGACGAATCCGCGGTCTCATGTGGCAATTACGTTCAAACATTTGCTAGCCCTCATCGTAATTCGTAATATGACCGATCGCACGACTACCGTTTCATCGAGACCTGCGTCAGTATATAAATTTGCCAGTGAATTTGGTTCAAATTAAATTGGAATGTTCAGGTAAACGAGATCCAATTTGCTTATTTTACCCACGATTGGAGTCGCGTTGCTTGTTTGCAGACTCGCGGGATAGAGGCGTAGGCAATATTGCACGACTGAAGACATATATACTCTACATTATTGACTGTAATGGAGATTTGTCATATTTGACATTTTTGTTGATTAGAAAACACGTGAAGCGGAAACAGAAAAAATATTCATTTTTAATTTAAAAGTTTTGCTACTCCCTAATAGATGGCGTCAACTGTCAGGAGAGAGTATATTAATTATCATGATTCTACGTTGCTACCCGACGAAAGATGGCGTAACAAATTAAGACAAGTTTGTGAATCAAAAATCGTTTCTGTGTCATTTTTATTTCACTTGGTCGAAAGGGCAATTTACAAATTGAGTCTTAATGTGACTCTGCGAGAAATATTCAACGGAATTAACATTTTTACGCTGGTATCACAAGTACAGTTATGAAAATGTAATAAATAGAACATAAAATGTAATTTATAAATGGTTACACACATATTTAATACAAGAACAAATATAAACTAACTGTTATTGACAGTCGTCTTCACAAATATAGAAAAAACTTTATACAAAAGGTTATTTTATTACTTATATACCCTATACAGCTTCTGTGTACTTAGATGACAAATCCATACTAGTAGTACTGACCAATTTAGCTTTTTCAGGTTGTTTCTAACTATGATAATTGAAATAAATATTGTTAATGATAAATGTGAAACAATTGTTTATTTACAAAGTGCAACTTATAAACTTTGTTACTTATTCTTCTCAGGCGAATCTGCGATACGTATGAATGTACCTAGTATTTAATCACTATGACGGTTTCAAGCTTATCTACTTTTGAAATAAAGATATTTTTAAAAATTTCAAAGATCTGATAACTTAATACTTACAGACTAGACTATTTTGGGAGTTACCAAATTTAATTATTTCTACTTTTAATTTAACCCAAATTCAATTCAGTTGCTAAAACATATTAAATTGAGTTGGAATACATTTTTTATACGCGCGGTAGGGTTGAGTGTAGTTAGTGGAGTTGTTTCCAATTCAGAGAGTTTCGTAGAGACAAATTTTCCGGTACATTTCCTTCCTAAAGTTGGCAAGCAGTGCTTGTTACTGTAACTGGAGGCGGCCGGAGCTCGGCGGCCGTTAACTGGACACCTTGTTAACACACAAACGCTGTTTGTTGGGGGACGGTGCACAAAGACGAGAAAACTTGCCCACCTGAGCCCTATTCGGCAACTGGACACTCAATATGTTTTCTTCAATTTGTCCTTGAGATTTTTAGCTAACATTTGTTTGGATCTCAGTCTCAGTAAATAAATTTTATTATTATTATTATTTATTATTTTCTTTTGAAAATATTCGAGATTTTGAGACGTCTGAGCACGTCTCAAAATCTCACGTGTTAATGTGTCTTAATAATAATATAGTTATTGTTTTGATAAAGGGTTAACTTTAGATAGCAAAAATATACATTGTTACCTCAAACAGTGTCTTAT